AACGTTTCAGAAAATTGATCAAATTGAAAATAGTTTGTTTGATTCTCAGAAATTCTCATCATTCTCAGCAGTAGGTGTTATATAACAATTACTATTGTTGTTGAAATACTGAATATAAAAGCGGTTTGCTTGCAAAACCTCCACAGGAAAAGTCGCGGATAACAGCTAGTTCTTTAATAAAGTTAATTATTTAACATTTTAGCTAATAATAATGAAATCTATTTATTAATGTTTAATTTTATAGCTAAGATATTTATAATCACAAAAATAAAAAAAAATATGCTATAAATAATACTAGGAGATATAATTTTAAAAAAATTGTATTTTTCTCAATTAACTCCAGGATTAATTAATTAAATTAAAACAAAATTTTTATTAAATTTTATCTTTCCTCCCAAAAGTTTGATTTTATTCAAAAATTTTGTTTGTAGATTTAAAACATGTTTAAATTACAAAAACAAATTGCTAATTTATAGCAGAAAATTTAATGTAAATTATTTGAATAATTCAAATCCATTTTAAAATTTTAACTAGATCTGTATCAACTGAAAACAAAAGAATAAAATTGCAATTTTATGTTTCACTGTGTCTATGTTGATGTTTACAAACAAATAGGAAATATAATAAAGTCCAAAATTGCTTGAGTATTGTGTTAAAAATGTAATTTTTTTTAATGAATTTTTAGCACATTATACATTCAGTGTAATAATAATTCAGTTTAAATTACTCATAGAATATTTGCTTCCATTAACTGAAATTCTAAACTTTTGTTTTTCAGGATATCAATAAACTATGTAAATTACGGATTAAAAATTCAATAATATTTCAATGTAAAAGCTTAAAACTTACTTTATATATTTAATAATTTCCTATATTACAAAGAATCTAAACTGATAAAAACTGAAGTTCAAAGCTTATAAATCTCTATATATTTTTATCAATAGCTTTCTATATATAAATTTATTCTATTTTTATTCATTCAATCAATCTCTATTTTAAAAATTGAGCAGGATAAATACACATTAATAAATTTATAATGAATTCTGTGTTTACTCGGGAGGAAAACAATTGTAACTCCGAGAGAAAACTGTTGGAATTATTGAAAGAAAAAAAAAAGCAAATAAAAAAAAATACCTTTAGAACAAATGCACAAATAGCTATATTAGCCTCTTCATAATGTTAATTATCAAATATCTAATTATTCAAAAACTTTTGTATATAAAAGTTCATTATTTATGATTAATGGGGTCTTTCTGCAATCAAATTAATTCAGAATATCAAGATAACATATCAACAGTTACAAATAATGTATTTTCCAATAGTTTTTATATATTAATTAGTAACTAACATTCCACAACTTCAGTAAGACTTCTACAAAATTTATCAGATAACAAAATGATTGAAAATGCACAAATAAGTATTCAAATATTTATTTTTTCCACTGAGATAAGTATTAGTCTTCTTAAAATTAATATAAAATAATTTTTCTTAATCACAATATTATAATTCACATAGAGATTTATAACCACAGTATTAAAACTCTTTTTGTAAATAATATTTGCATGTTTTATTAAAATTATTTGAATATAATTTAATTGTTTAAGAGTGAAATTGATTTAAAAAGTTTCACACTTTAAGAAAAATTAAGTTTTATCCCACTTTTATCAAATTTAATGTACAATTTCAAGATGTATGATAGTTCAATTATATTCTTTCAATAGTTTATCATCTATTACAAAAAATAAAAATTAAATCTAATCATCATTCACCTAAAATCAACTCCCATATTACATTTTATGTAATATGTGGAATGATGTATATATGATACATGCATTCATGTTAAATTACATTAATAGTCATTAAATGAATAAAATTTTACTTAAATTTACAGAATACATTCTAATACATTTAAGAAAGCAAATCAAATTAAAAATTTCATGTTTTGCTTAGAAAAAAAGCACGTTTTATCCCACTTTTACCATATTTACAGATATGTGACAGTTTGATTTAGTTTTCCAATCATTTATAATAATTTAAAATGGAAAAACAAAAAATTTAATCATCAAATTAGTAAAAATCATCTCTTTCAAATTACATTTGCTATCACTATGTATATAATACACANATTGTAATTTTTTTTAATGAATTTTTAGCACATTATACATTCAGTGTAATAATAATTCAGTTTAAATTACTCATAGAATATTTGCTTCCATTAACTGAAATTCTAAACTTTTGTTTTTCAGGATATCAATAAACTATGTAAATTACGGATTAAAAATTCAATAATATTTCAATGTAAAAGCTTAAAACTTACTTTATATATTTAATAATTTCCTATATTACAAAGAATCTAAACTGATAAAAACTGAAGTTCAAAGCTTATAAATCTCTATATATTTTTATCAATAGCTTTCTATATATAAATTTATTCTATTTTTATTCATTCAATCAATCTCTATTTTAAAAATTGAGCAGGATAAATACACATTAATAAATTTATAATGAATTCTGTGTTTACTCGGGAGGAAAACAATTGTAACTCCGAGAGAAAACTGTTGGAATTATTGAAAGAAAAAAAAAAGCAAATAAAAAAAAATACCTTTAGAACAAATGCACAAATAGCTATATTAGCCTCTTCATAATGTTAATTATCAAATATCTAATTATTCAAAAACTTTTGTATATAAAAGTTCATTATTTATGATTAATGGGGTCTTTCTGCAATCAAATTAATTCAGAATATCAAGATAACATATCAACAGTTACAAATAATGTATTTTCCAATAGTTTTTATATATTAATTAGTAACTAACATTCCACAACTTCAGTAAGACTTCTACAAAATTTATCAGATAACAAAATGATTGAAAATGCACAAATAAGTATTCAAATATTTATTTTTTCCACTGAGATAAGTATTAGTCTTCTTAAAATTAATATAAAATAATTTTTCTTAATCACAATATTATAATTCACATAGAGATTTATAACCACAGTATTAAAACTCTTTTTGTAAATAATATTTGCATGTTTTATTAAAATTATTTGAATATAATTTAATTGTTTAAGAGTGAAATTGATTTAAAAAGTTTCACACTAAGAAAAATTAAGTTTTATCCCACTTTTATCAAATTTAATGTACAATTTCAAGATGTATGATAGTTCAATTATATTCTTTCAATAGTTTATCATCTATTACAAAAAATAAAAATTAAATCTAATCATCATTCACCTAAAATCAACTCCCATATTACATTTTATGTAATATGTGGAATGATGTATATATGATACATGCATTCATGTTAAATTACATTAATAGTCATTAAATGAATAAAATTTTACTTAAATTTACAGAATACATTCTAATACATTTAAGAAAGCAAATCAAATTAAAAAAAATTAAAATTTTGCTTAGAAAAAAAGCACGTTTTATCCCACTTTTACCATATTTACAGATATGTGACAGTTTGATTTAGTTTTCCAATCATTTATAATAATTTAAAATGGAAAAACAAAAAATTTAATCATCAAATTAGTAAAAATCATCTCTTTCAAATTACATTTGCTATCACTATGTATATAATACACAATGTACAGTACACTGGATGGAAGTTACTTTTAGATAAGTTGTATGCATATGCATTTATTAACTTCTACAGTATATTGGCACAAATTATATCAACAATTAATAGATGGATTAATAGTATATTCTAAACATTTAAAAAAGCAAACCTAACTAAAAATGATTCAATTTTGCTTAAAAAAAATGTAACTTTTGTATATAATTTAAAAATTTATGATGGTTTCATTTACATTTTATCAATAATCTATTACCACCTACAACCAAAAAATTCATTCATCATTCATCTAAAATCAACTCCAAATTACATACAACCATCATCAGTAGCATATCTATATGATATATATATATATATATTCATATAAAATTACTTTCATAGTCATTAAGTGAACAAAATTTTACTTAAATTCACTGAATACATTCTAATCATTTAAGCGAGCAAATTAAATCAAAACTTTTACGTTTTGCTTTGAAAAAAAAGAAAATTTATCCCACTTTTATCATATTTAATATATTTAAAGAAATAGAAGTTCTGTTTAGTTTTTCAATTATTTATAATCTAAAATGAAAAAAACAAGAACAAATCTAATCATCAAATAATTAAAATCATCTTCCCCAAATTACAATTGCTATCTGTAACGTGTATATAATGCATAATGTACACCGAGTGGAAGTTACTTTTAGATAAGTCGTACACATATAAGTATGCATACATTAAGTTAAAGTAACTTCTACAGTAAAATGGTACAAATTAACAAATGAATGAATAGTACATTCTAATAACTTAAAAAAGCAAACTAACTTAAAAATTTCATATTTTAGTGGATAAAAAGTGTGATTTTTATGGAATTTCACATATAATTTGAAGATACATGACAGTTTCACTTACATTTTACCAATAATCTGTAACATGCCAGCAGAAAGACACTAAGAATTCACTCATCATTCATCAGAAACCAACCCCCATCCGCAGCACACACACACACACACACATGCATATAAAAACCCTATACAAGGATGCAGGTACAAATTACCTTAACATTTAACAAAATTACTAACTCCATACCATCAATAGATTTAAAATACTCTTTCCTTATCATAATCATGATTTATACAGGCCTAAAACAAAAACAAAAAAAAAGAACTAATCTGCAAAACTTAAATAAAAATTGAATGGTAATTTATAAACCGCGTAACTAACTTTTACAACTTTTAAACAGAATTAAGTTTGTGTATGATGTCACACACGAATGTGACGTCGAGGAATTGTGTTTTATATACGAGAATATAATTAGTTGTATGGAAGTATAATGAAATTTTTTCGCTGGTTTATTGATTCTTAAGCGAGTAATGAACCGATTTATAACGATTTATCGAGTTTTTTTCATAGTTAAAACGAATTATTAAGTGAACAAACCTTCATAATCGCAACGAGATGACTTCGGTCGTCCGAATTTTTCTTCCTTTTCAGCGATGCTTTTGTGTTGTAAAAATCCGATAAAATCCTATTCCTTATTAAAATCGTTCGTAATCATTCCCAAAACATAAACAAAACACTAATCAACAAGAAACTAACTTTCTTTTCGTTCTCATTTGAATAAAACCAACCAAAAACCGCAAAAAACCGACTCCACTACGATCGGCGTTGACGACAGCACGTTCTTTAGTCAACGCCGCTCGCGCGCCGAAACGCACATCCGCATGCAACGTCGTCTGCGTTGACAATCCAACTAGCCTCTAACCGTCTCGGATATAAACAATTTTTTAAAAAACTCGATAATTATTAGATGAAAAATTTTAATAAAATTAATTTCGTTAGTTAAATTGTCTGAGTTTTAAAAATCTGTTAAAATTCGTACGCAATTCATTTCGATTTTTATCTCGCCTCGCCCTCTAACTGTAATTTTATTAATCGGTTACCATTTCGATACCCGGATAGAGGCTAGTAGGATGATACTGTTATTTAAAAAAAAAAAAAAGAAAAAATTCGTAATTGTAATTGATTGCTTTTTATCCACTCATAAATATCGAATTTAGTTTTATTAATTTTTTATTTTTATTCGATTTATTAATAAGTAATTACAGTTGAAATTGTTGGTATTTTTATTTTATTTTTTTAACTTTAGTCGATGGTAGATGGCTCGAGCATCGAGGGCGCGCGCAACCACCTGGCATGTGCATCATCTGTCCGGAGTTTTAGTTAACGGTCGGTTTGCCGTTACTTTATAGCTTCGTCTAGCGTTTTTCGAATGAGAAAACTAGAGTAAAGTGAAGAATTCGTCCCGAAATTTCATTTTAACCAAGTTTCAAAGTTAAATGTCGACATGGAACTTGCGCACTTTATACGAAATCGCATTCTTTCCCGTTAAGAAACGTGTTAACCAACACGATTTTCCTAGAAGCGTGTAAACTTGAATTAATTACAATTAAGTGATAAGGTGATACGCCTGTTTAATTAGTTAAAAGTTAATTCGGTTTAGCTTTAAAATTAACTCAAGTTTCTTCTAAAGTTATATAAAACGAGATCTGATGGTAACATTTAGAGGAATTTAAAACCAGTTAATTGGTCAAGAAACTCGAGTTCAAATTTCATTTCAATTTACTTAATTGATCAAAGGAGACTCAAATTTAGATCCAATTAATTAATTAGTAAATCCGTAGATTGGTCGACAAAGATTCGTATTTAAATCCAATCCATTACAGTACAAGTCGACCCCCCTATAATACTGTTGATTGTTCCGTTTTATATGAATTCCATGTTGTACGAGTCACTTAGATTTTACAAATACGTGTGCTGTTCACAGCCTGGCACACGTATTTGTAAAATCTAAGTGACTCGTACAACATGGAATTCATATAAAACGGAATAATCAACAGTGTTATAGGGGGGTCGACTTGTATTTTGAATACAGTTAATTGTAATTAAACACGTAAACTTGAAATTTAATTGAAAATTAACATTTTAATTTTCAATTAAATTTCAGGTTTACGTGTTTGTGACTTATTTGTTTAATTGTGTTTAATAGTTAAATACAATTAACCGAATAAATCACAAATGGATTGAATTATAAACCTTAAATTCTTAATTATCTAAATAGGATTCATATTTGAATTCATTTAAGTAATCGTGTAAAATAGAAACTTGATTGTAATTATGTATAATTCATGTTTGAATATAATAAAAACTAAATTGTATTGAAACCATCAAGTTAAGTGTCAAATCAAACGCATAGATTGAGCTTCAGTAATGAATCTAATTATCTAATAATCAAATATTTTCATTTATTATCTCGCAGTAGAGTCGAATATGATTGAAAGGTGACAAATTTCTTAAGTTCGGATCATCATTAGAAACCTTCCTTACTACGTTACGTGCTTAGATTAAGGATAATTCATATTAAAAAACAGCTAGATAAACATCCGGATCTTAACCTACAGAAGCAACCATGCAAAGTTGTAGTCCAAAAAATGCGGCCAAAGTAATTCCAACGACGATGTGCAACTTCCGTAAAAGTGATACCGTATAATTCGTGAGATTTTTTATTATTTTTTTCATTTCTTAAGAGTTATACATGACCAGGTGTTCTAGTCAAGGTATATTTCATATCCTGAACAAATTTGCAATGAGTTCAATCAGTTATTTTGCCTGAATAAATCAATATTTCGCACGAAAATAGTGACAAAATCATTTAAGATCGTGTTGTAGACTCAGTATTTTCACGTTTTACGTGACGCAGCATCGTTTCTAGAACTGTTATTCCATTTTCTAGGATTGATATAATAGATTACAGGTTTTCTGTAAGTTAAAAATCTTATTTATACAAAGTATTTCGTTACAAATTCCGAGCGGAGGTTGCACTATAGAATTTACTTTCTCAACATGGCATGAGTAATGTGGACAACCTCCCTGTAACGTGATCCTTCTTTCCACTTTGCGTTCAAAGAACGACCTTTGGACCCTTTTATACGCTAAATAAACACTCATTCATTACTTTGCATGTACGTTTTAATCACATTTTAATTGGCGAAAAGGCTCATTTTATGTTGGCTCTAACGTTGCACAATTTAGAATAAATGATGTTAATTCGCCTCGGTAAATTAATATGCCGCATACGTTCAACTAAACGGATATTCAAAATATGTTGATGTGTGAGATAAGTGCGCATTCTTGCTCTTTATCCCTCTTAACATGGAGGCGGAATAACAAAATAATTTTTTCTATTACCTTAATGAGATGTAGCATAATAAAAGAAGGCTTCGTCGTGTGGGTAACGTGTTACATTCTCGTGTTCACGTTTTAAATTCACGGTATCGAGCTCTACCTAATTCTTGGTAACACTAGAAAATTCACTTTGTACACGGATAGAATTGTATAGAAATTCACAGATAAACTCACGCAATTAATGTAAACAAATTTATAAATGTTACGTTTGCAAAATTGCGCAATTGTTTCAATTAAAATTGCTTTTTTTTAATGATTTAAACGCGTAAATCATACGAGAATCGCAAAAAAACATGCTATTTACATCTACATTGAAGGGTGTACGGTACATGGATCGGTTACGTGAGAGACGGGCGTACTTGCATACTGTATGCTTTCAAAGATACAAAGGGGTTTAATGACTCAGCAGTATAGTTTACACGTTTCTAAATGTGTGAGATAAAAGTAACAGCTACACTTTTGCAGCTTATAAGATAGATGAATCACATAAACGTAGACTATACGTCACACAAAATTACGTTTTATATCGATTAAATACGTACATTATTTCAAATGTATCCATTAATTTAAGAAGCATCTTCGACTGTTTAGAATAAAAATTTCTAGAACGTTTATCTGCTTGAAGAAACCCCCAAAATTGCGACCTTGTACACTCAACCATGGATATCAGTTACAGCCTTAAAACATTTTACACATCGCTTTTGTTCTGTTTTATGGCAATAACTGAGAGTTATCGCTAGCAAACCGGATAAAGATCCTTACAATAACTTTTTTTCTTTTTTTTTAATCATCCTGTTTGAAGCCAAAATCACATTTATACAAAATTTGGCTTGGAAAATGTAAAATTGTATGAGATAATCTTAATTATATGTTCCGTTGATCATAGAATAGATACGCTTCCTTCACTTCACTTCCTATATATTAAAGTCTATTTATGCAAAGCTTACTCAAGGACTTTTATTATTTTTTTAAATATATAAATTGCAAAATATTCTTATTTAAAAAAATGGCATAAACTTATTTCCTGCATAGCTGAGCATCAAATTGTCATGGAATAATGCCCCCGTTAATTATTGTGACTCTTAAAAAGGTAACACAATGCATTTAAGTCGAACATTTAAGTTCACACTATTTCAATACGCTTAATAACTTTGTTAATTGGGCAAATTTTACCCTTTCTGGCTTATATTTTGATAGCAACTTATCATTTAAAAATACCTGTGTACTCTCTTCTTATTGAACATAGGAATTTTACTGAAATTTATCACTTTAAATGCTATTTTTGAGAAGTGCTATATAATAGCCTTGTTGTTCATCCCAAAATCGTCTGAAAAGCACTTTCTTACTAGTAAAAGGAGTAAATTATATACAGAAATATGTACACGAATGGAGCCTTTGACATTTGAACCAGAGCCGCATCCAGAAGATAAATATCCTAGTTCAATCCGGATGTGCATATTCTGTAATGTTGAAGATAACACTCGGACCATTATTGCAATTTATAGCTTTCTATGTAAACCTCTTTAGTTAACTCGAATACCTCATTAAGCCTCATAACTTTAAGAGCCGCGATGCTCAATTTGACTAAATATATAGAACTTATAATCTATTTTTGATCCCGGCACACTTAACTGTCAACGACTTCTCACATAAGGGGGCAAATTTAAAAATTCGGGGACATTCTTAGTTATTTTTAGGTACCCAGCCAATTTTTATAAACCTTATAAATGTAGTTTCAAGGTTAAGATCAATATCAGCTTAATCTCATATTCCTCTATAGTATATCTGCATTTTGAGTGTGTAATCTACATACAGTTGTGTGACTCATTCTTTCGCTTTCCAGCGCGACAACTTTAGTCTATCAAAAGTAAAGAACTTCCTTTCTAGCTTCCGTTCATCTAGGATGGCCTTTAAACGCCACGATGCTTTTAAATATGAGCAAGAAATGTAAGTAGCAGCACCTTGAAACAAATAACTAATAAATTAAGCGCGGCGAAAAAGAACTTGAAGGTCAAATACCATTAAATTATGTCATAGCGTATGATATTAGTAAGCCACGTGACTTGTTAAAAACGTTAAACTAAAAGAAGTTCATGCCATATCTTATGCCCTAGTAACAATATCTACTAAAAATTACTATAGTTTCTGGTAATCAATGCCATAAGAAGTATTAAAAATATGCTGTAACTCACTCAATTATGGCTCATTATGTAGAAAGATGTAAAAAATTAAATGTATAATTTTGTGAGTATGGTAGTCGTTTATACTGCTATAGAATAAAGAAATTTTAATGTTAATTAACCATTAAACACACTTTAAATTGCAGTTATTTCAGTAAGAAATGAAACTCATATGCTAATCTTCAGTTACTTATCAAGCTTTACAATTAGTTAAATATGGCTTATCAGTAATATAGAATAATTGCAATGCTCAAAAAAAGAGAAATTAGACTGTTTATGAGCCTTATTGTAGGCTAACAAACATTTTCG